GTGTACTCACACTAGGCAATCTTAACCGTGCCCGAGCACGTTTGACCCCCAAATCCCGGTTCGTTTGACTAGTGAGTCTTTAAGTAGTGAGTACCCGCGCTCGGTTGGAAGAGGTGGGCCAGAGCGCGGTTCAGTTATATATAGATCAGTGAGTGTGAGCGCTAACCGTGCCGGAGCGGTCAAAAGTGATTGATCTGTAAAGCAATATATTGTGAGAGGGCCGTGTGTTACCGCATCCCAAACGACTCAAAATAATAAACCACAAAGTTAACAAAATGATGCACTCCACTGTGCTGATCGAGAGCGCTTCTCTGCTGTCTTCATGTGCTATCGGAAACTTCCCGTTTCCCACTTATGAAAACGTGAGCGCTTCATCATGTGAGCGCTGCTGCAGTCTTAGGCCCACCCCAAATGCTTTCATTGGTTGAGACGTGTGATGACAATCCATCCCAAGCCAGTACTGATCAACATCCCACCCCTCCTGTGACCCATGGTTTGTCTGTATGTGTATTCAGAGTCAGTGAGCAACGGACTTTCATAATAATAAAAAACTGCGTTACCGTGCGATAAAATAATTGACGGCGTTAATCAATTAATGCGTTAACGCGACAATAACGCTAACTTGCCCAGCCCTACAATTAATATATGATTATGATAAGTAGTGACAAAAAAGGCAGCGAGTCTGTATCCTGTCCTTCTCTGTGCACTGATGTCTGTAGTTCACTGACTCCATATTTCAATGGTCAACCTTGGTGAGCATCAAAGACTTCCTTCAAAAACGTTAAAAAACCACACTGACCCCAAACATTTGAATGGTAATGCAACATTTGAGTTAAATAATTAAAATTTAAAACAGTACATTTGATAAAATTAATAGCCTTGAGCTGATATACTACACCCACACCTGCAACCAAACCATGTGACAGCAGAGCCCTAGGATGGAGTAATGATATAAAACTCACATGCATTGCGAGAATGCTCCGTGGGATAAGTTCCCGATACTGTCTGATGTTGAAGTGCCACGTCTTGATCCTCATCAGATCATCGAAAGCGAACTCCAAAATCAACCGGCCCTCCGTACACACCTGAGAAAGCAAACATTCAGAAACCTATGATGTATTAAAGACTATGTCTCTTTCTCATCATGAAGAAATACGTTTTAGCTCAGAGAGCGACAGAACGCATCACCTTAACGCAGGTGATATTTTTCAGATTTTATGTCAGTTGGGCTTTTCAAACCAGATGATAGAGTTTCGAAGCCATTTCCTAATGAAAGGTGTTTATGTTGTATACCTGAACCGAAGGCCAACGAAATGGAAATTCTTGAGACGAGCTTACACAAACACAAAATAACAAAATTCGGAATACATGCAGAGGTCATAAACCATTAGCATTTACTGAAAAAAAAAAACAGGATGAGAAAAAGATTTTGCTGAATTTAGAGCTGCTCTACTCGTAGCCCCAATGTTCTGTTGCTGGGGCAACCGGAGGATGAGGAGGAGGAGGAGGAGGAGGAAGAAAGGGAGGGAGAGGAAAGGGGATTGGGGGGTGGGAGCATCAGCTGATTAGTTGGCATGGCAACGGCAAAGATGTAATCCCGCCAGAGCCACTCTAATCAATGCCCTCAGCACAGATGGTCTCTGGAGGATCAACAAGAAAAGAGGCTGGCGGGAGAGCACAGCGCCATCACATGACCACACTCTTTCACATTCTCTCGCTCATGCTCCCCACTTTTTTCATCTTCTGTATGCTTCTCCTGCTCTCTGAATCTGTTTTTGTTTGTCTCATTCTTTCTCCAGCTCTCCTTCTTTCCATCCTTCATTCGGCACTATCTCTCAACAACGTAACATGCTGAGGAAAAAGCAAAGTGAAAATGAAAGCATCTGTCTTTCGCTCTCGCTCTATACTGTACTGCTGCAGAGCTCTGCTTCAGGACATGTTTTAAAATTAAACTGGTCCAGCCAATCATTTGAATACTGAAATATGGGTGATTCTTCATATGTCCAGAATTGGATATACTATTCTGTTGTTGTTTTTTCACTCTATGACCGTGTCATTTCCACCACATCTGAAATCATCATTCACTTTGTGAAGGAAATTACATTTTACAATAACATTTTACATGTATTCATTTAGCAGACACTTTTATCCAAAGCGACTTACAATTGAGGAATATAACAAGTTATTCATCATAAAGAGGCAAATTACACTTTGCAATCTCCTTAGTCTTGATACGGTTAATTTCATTGCTAGCCTTTTATGTATTCTAAATGAGCACAATAAAATGTTATTGCAAATGAAATGCTCTAGGAAAAAAGTTGGTTTAAAAGTACACTAACTTTTGAATGAAACTTTATTGGGTGAAAAATTGTTCACAGTTGAAATTTGTGTAAAATCTGATATAATTGTTACACAATTAATACAAGTTCTCATAGTTTTAAACATTGATAATTTTATAACAGACTTCCATAGATTATGACTGTTTATCTGGCTCTGGGATGGGGTAAAAGTAGATCTACAGATAAATGCCATTTGAAAAGTGCCAAAAATAAATAAATAATGCATGGTAAAATAAAATAAAAAACATAAAATGCACAAAATAAAAGAAACACAAAATTATCAGTTCCCAAGACAATTTTACCTTCATATAAAAAATTTAAAAGTTGAAATATGTTAGTTTTGATTAAATAAATATAAATAAAATAATAAAATAAAATAAAATAAAATAAAATAAAATAAAATAAAATAAGTAGATAAATGAATCAATCATTCAATCAACTCCTGGAACATAAAAGTGCCTGTAGATGAAAAGAACTACATATATGAATAAAATGTTCTCCAATTGTGTACAAATATGCAGATGACTAAAATACCTGCTATTATGTTTTTGACCATTTCTCTGAATACAGCACTTGATTAATAAAGTACAGCTGTGATTTTGTAATCGGTTGCTCAAAGACTAGTGGGTCTCCATTCCTCTGTAATGATAAATTCTCGGGCTCTTGTATGGATTAGAGTGGATTAGTCCATATCAGTGTGTGAAAATAATCCAAAGTGCTTGATGGACAAGGTGGAAACATAAAATCTGTTGATAAGTGGTTTAACCTTCTGATGCATGATGTCCACTACAGCTGACAGATCTTAAAAAGCTATTTACATTTACATTTACATTACATTTACATTTACACACACACACACACACACACACACAAAGAAAAACAATTAGATATAATAGAAAAAATAGAAAGCTAGTGTTTTTTTGTTTTTTTTTCAATGTCAGTAGGATTTTGTGATTTGCGCCATACTCTTTCTGCAGCTCTGAGCTTAGAACGATACTCACGGAGAACATCAGATAGCCAAGGGGCAGAAGAGGTGGTACGAGCTGGCCTTGAAGACAAGGGACAGACAGTGTCTAAACAAAACGTAAGAGAGGAGCAGAAAGTATCAGTAGCACTGTTAACATCAAGAGATGATGAAACCATAGCAGATGATGAAACCATAGCAGATAGCCGGGAGGGTGAGAGTGAGCGTAGGTTACGTCGAAAAGTGACAAAATTATTGGAGAGTGCTGCAGGTGTAGCAGTGTCCTCTGGTTTGATCCAGGTCTCTGTCAGGGCCATGAGATTTAGCTTTGAATGACTAATAATAGAAGTAATGAAATCTGCTTTGTTTACAGCAGACTGACAATTCCAGAGACCAATAGAAAAAGTAATGTATTAGCAGACGTAGGCAAAGTGCGCAGGTTGTTAGGATTGCGCTGCCTACAGTGTGTGATGCGTGGTTTTGCGAGTGGTAGTGATAGTAGGGATCTGGGAATTAGGGCTGTCGCGATAACCGCAATATCGCAATACCGCTATTGACGAGCAAACCGCAGAGGAATGCAAGAACCGCAGCAACCGCGATTTTTGCGTTTTATTTTTTCGTAAGGTTATGCCCTTCTCGTTTTACAGAGCCTTCTAAAGTGGCGCTCAAAGTTAAAATGATTTCAACAGCGTGTTTCATTACGTCTCTTTGATAGAATGAATCAGCATTTTTGAATGTGTAGTTGAATGACATTCCCTTTCCACCACCTTGTGGCGCAACACTGTAACTGCACTGACTGACAGCCCGTCTAGAAGAGAAGGGTATAACTGCAGCCCGGAGATCTCCAAATGGGGGCGGGAACTCCAAAACGGGGTGCGAGCTCCAAAATAGGGCGTGGCTTCCTCCCATTGACAGTCAGGCACATGACACGCATGGAATTTTTTCCCCCCAATCCACTTCAGTGCAAACTCCGCCCCACGGCTGATTCTAAAGATTTTATTGGTTGTGTCAATTAGTGTTGATTTCATACATTATGCTACAAAAAATGCTAACCCCTAAACCTACCCCACACCTGACCCTAACCTTAACCAGTGAAATTGACTGCACGGCGGGATTGGCGCTGAATAGCGTGGTAAAGAAAAATGCAGTTCAGGAGATAAACAGTTAATAAGATTATGCGATATGAGATCGTTCCGTAACTCCCCAATCGGACCTCACCGGACAATGGCAGCTTTTTAGTTACACCTAGCGTCACTACCCCCTCCTACCCTGCGAATTTCGAGCCCCGGGACGCCCCCGTTGCTTAGAACAAAGCGATAGAGTGAAATATTTCCCCTGCGCTGGGACGGCTCGCAGGAGAGCTCGTGGGTGATTCCCGTTTATTAAGCAGAGCAGAGGTTCAAACTCCAGTCCGAATGTATATATATATATATATATATGTGTGTGTGTGTATATATACAGTATATATATATGTATATGTATGGCGATAATACCGCATACCGCGCTATTGAGCCACTCAAAATCACCGCAAGGGAAATTCCCTCACCCTACTGGGAACACATAGTAAGAATTGGTTATAAAAACTGGAAACAGAAGGGAAACAAGTAGTAGGAAAGAGAATGATTCAAAAGCGATACTTATGTCCTTTGCCGGTGTCCCTGCTCGGTGTGACGTTACATCCAAACCACCATGAGCCAATGACCTTTGACCATTTCTCATAATTCAACAATACAACTGTCCTCTTTATAGGTCATTATATTTTTTATTATGACTATTTACGACAGCAAGAATTCAGGCTGCAAAAGTGGTGAAGCATCAAGTAGCTCTATCTTATATTCTAAAACGTCCAGTCAGCCTCTCCTGAGGCATAATAGAAATACACAGTTATAATGTCAACTGGAAATGACCTTTATGGTACAAGTGATACCATAAACCCTTTCGGTTTAGATCAATGGCAAACTGCATATTTAATCAGCAAAACGCTTAATTGACATAAAAAATGACCATGGCTTGTAATTTGCTCTCCACCTTTCAAATACATTAAAATGATTGTTATGCTTGCTTTTGTGTCCTTGTTTAGTGCATTCAGACTGTGATTCTGAAATTAAATCTCACCAACTTGCTTCTATTATTATTATTATTTTTATTTTTTTTACCATGACAAAGAAACTAATCAAAAACTAAAGTATATGAAAACACACAGAGTTAGTACTGAGTAATATATTAATAAAGAGCTTTCTTAGCAGAGTCCAAAGCTGCCAGAAATATTTCACAAGGATTCCTAACGACCTCCATCAGTAAACACATAGAATAATGGCTGTGATTAAAGTAGTAAATTATCACGCCTGCCATGTTTGTTTGTTCTATTAGACAGTTTATGGGGTTTATCACAGGGAATGTAAGAACTGAAGGAAACAGATAACTGTGTCATTTCTCCTTCCACTCTGAGGTTACGATAATGAGCAAAAATGCATAAGGAGAACAAAGAATGCATGTTTTGTTGACAAACATAGAAACTAAGTGTATCTGCACCTCATCATTTATTCATTCATTTTAAAACGTTGTGCCTGTTTAGGATATGGTGTCACACACACACATACACTCTCCTTCTTTACCTTGGTGAACATGGGCTTGCCGTGTTGCGTTACCATGGTGCACTGATCGCAGTCTACAGTGATGCAGTTGTTGTGGAAGGACTCTTTGGAGTGTTTCAGGATGTAGTAGAGGTCTGACACACCACCCTCAAATACCGTGCTGAAGTAACGAGGGATGAGGGTCCGCCCGATTGCTGAGGAGGGAAACAAGATGTCATTTACATTTTGTTTAATGCATTCTTAAATTGACTTGAAATGTCTCTACATCTCTTAATTTCTCACTGTTTGTTACAGTACATTATTAACAAGTAAGATGTACATGATCCAAGCAATTTCTTGCAACTTCAGAGATACAGTTAGAATGATTTAAAAATGAACAAAAACTGTTCCTGCATTCCCTCAAATTGTGTGACCATGCATCAGCATAATATGGTGTCCGAGAAGTGCAAAACAAATCACAATTCTGAAAACAAAATACCAAATTACAAACGCAAATGCAAGTCTAAAAAACGAAATAACAATTCAGAAAGCACAACAACAATTCAGAAAACATTATAACACGTCCAGTTGTCTCAAACTATACCTACCTTTTCCGGTTTGTCTGATTTGTCGTTGTGTTTTCTGACTTGTTATTTTGTTTTCGAATTTGTCATTGCGTTTTCTGACTTGTTATAATGTTTTCTGAATTGTTGTTGTGTTTTCTGAATTGTTATTTTGTTTTTTAGACTTGCATTTGCATTTGCGTTTGTAATTTGTTATTTTGTTTTCAGAATTGTGATTTGTTTTGCACTTCTCGGACACCGTAGCATAAGCACTGACATAGCACGACTGGGAATTTTTGAAAAATTGTTATAGATTAGCCTAAATGATATAAAGTCTGATAATTTGTTTAACCTGCCTGAGGTATCGCAAAAAAGTTGAGTTGGAATACTTATTCTTCCTTGCAGCTGGAGATAATTATGCAACTTTTTTTCTGTTGTTGTTTAACAATGAACAAAGACAGAGCCCCTGTCTGGATGTGTGGCCTCAGGTATATCTGCATTGTTCGATTTTTATTCATAGCTTGTATTCTTGCTTCATTACAAAAAAACTATCGAATCCATACACACTACAACAAATAATTTTCTTAATCAGTATTTTTTGCCAAGATTTCCAAAAAAAAAAAAAAAGAAAAGAAAGAAAGAAAGAAACAATACATTTACTGATAAGCAAAATAGTGTAATATTTATATCTTGAATATATCTTAATGTAAGTTTTTAAACAAGCTTAAAGCATTAACATCGATGTCACTATATTTAGATGGAATAAATGAACAATAAAAAATACTAAAAATAAGAGTAATAAAAGTGAGGTAAGAAAAATTCAATAAATTTATTATTACTATTCACAAAATGTTTATGAAGTCTATTATGTTCACCAAGGCTGCAACTATTTGATAAAAAATACAGTAAAAACAGTGATATTGTGAATTATCATTACATATATTTTAACATGTAATTTATTTCTGTCATTTAAAGCTGAATTTTCAGCAGCCACATGATAAGGAAACATTCCAATATGCTGATTTGCTGCTCCTTTCTATTACTATCAATTTTAAAAACAGCTGTGATGCTTAATATTTTTGTGGAAAGTGTGATACAATGTAAAAGTCTTACTTCTGATCAATTTAATGCATCATTTCTGATTCATTTCTCTTTTTTTCTGAAAACTAAAAACATGCTGACCTCCAACCTTTGAATAGTAGTGTATATATATATTTTAAATATATATTAAACATGTAAATACAAACATATATCTGAGCCACCCATTGAAAAGCTTTACAAAACCTTTTAATGCACATTTAGCTGGACATCTCTGGCCAAGAAAGTAGCAGACCCTCCCAGCGAAACAACTTGTACTTTTTGCGACTGGCTTTGCAGTGTTAACTTATCATTTTAATATTGAAACTGAACGGACGAGCAGCCTTATCCAGCTTAGCGTCTGATTTCAGGCAGAAATAATCCATCTTACAGTCAAACTCCCCTTTGAGAGAAATTATGTTTGTGCCACCAGCCCTGAGGGAGCGGAACCGGGGTGGTGGAGGGAAAGAGAGAGAGAACTTAATTTACCCAGCTTCCCTTAAGACAGACGCCACTGCCGCCACCGGTTAAAACTGCACGGGCAGAAGGAGAAAATGAAACAGCTGCAAACGCGGCCTGTTTCTTAAATTGGCTAAAGTCTGGCATGACTAAATCAACACATAAATACTTGGCAGGGGGAGAGAGTGAGAAAAACGGGAGAAGGGGAGAGAGCGGAGGGAGGGAGAGCCCTAGCTTGAGCGTATAAATGAAGGTCTCCCTAGTGGTTAAGACACAGAGTGAGCCGACGATGGGAGCTGACTGTTAATGAGCGAGTGCGAGAGAGAGAGAATGGTGGAGCGGTTCGAAGGGATGCTGAAAATAAATATGAAATACCCATGAATGAAAGAACGGCACAGAATGCAGGCAAATAAAGTGCTACAGGGAAGGACGGAGAGGAAGAAAGTGAGAGAGATACAAAATGAAAGGCTGACAGGCAGGGTGACAGCGAGGGGTGTTGTGCTGAAGGGAGATGTTGTTACTGAGGGCACACCTGACTGCCCGCTAAAGTTCTAGAGCACTGTGGCATAGCGGCCCCTATGCCTAACCATGAGGCATAAAATCACAGACACACTCGCACACACCAAAATAAAGAGACCAGCGTGTGTGTGTGTGTGTGTGTGTGGTACCAGGGCAGCTTGAACAAACAAGGAGCTCTATAATACCTAGAGAAAGCTATCTGTTAGCATTCACATTCCTCTAAATAGCTGTCAGTCAGCTGGTGCTTCAGAAATATGGGTGCTCAGTTCTGGGCATGCAGAACTGGGTTTTTGAGGCAATCACCTAAGCCGTAAATGCCATGTGACTAATTAATAGTAATAAAATGACATCATGACAATGCTAAATGCAAGTCCTAAAAACAAACAGACACTGGCATAACATCTATATATTAATGAAATATTACATATAATATATTACATATAGAAATATATGTATTTCTATGTATATATTTAATATTTATGTGATATAAAAAATCCATTTATCAAAGATTCCTGGAAAAAAAACGTATCATGGTTTTTATAAAAATATTAAGCAGCACAACTGTTTTCAGCATTGGTAATAATAGGAAATCTCTTTTGAGCACCAAATCAGCACATTTGAATGATTTCTGAAGGATCATGTGACACTGAAGTCAGAAATATTTTTTTTATGTCAAAATAGAAAACAGATGTTTTAAATAGTAACAATATTTCACAGTATTACTGTATTTTTAATCAAATAAATGCAGCTTTAGAAAGCATTCCTTCAAAAACCTTCAAAAAGCAACTTCCTTCAAAAACCTTCCTTAATTTTACCGACCCCAAACTTTTGAACGGTAATTTATGTATATATGCAAAACTTTAAAATAATATATATTATAAAATATTTTAAATAATACTTCAGTAATGTTTTTAATGTTTTAACATTCACATTTACATGCATAATTACATGCAAGCAGTGGTGGAAAGAGTACTGAAAAAATATACTCAAGTAAAAGTACCATTACCTTCCAAAAAATTTAGTGCGAGTAGAGCTTTAGAAAGCATTCCTTCAAAAACCTTCAAAAAGCAACTTCCTTCAAAAACCTTCCTTAATTTTACCGACCCCAAACTTTTGAACGGTAATTTATGTATATATGCAAAACTTTAAAATAATATATATTATAAAATATTTTAAATAATACTTGTATAATACAGTAATGTTTTAATACAGTAATGTTTTTAATGTTTTAACATTCACATTTACATGCATAATTACATGCAAGCAGTGGTGGAAAGAGTACTGAAAAAATATACTCAAGTAAAAGTACCATTACCTTCCAAAAAATTTAGTGTGAGTAGAGTAAAAGTACTTGTCCAAAAAACTACTTGAGTAAGAGTAAAAGAGTAGCCTATTTAAAAGTACTCATGAGTATTGAGTAGTGAGTACTGAGCTGTGGATTCTACCCCCTCATAATAAACGCTGTACACCGCAATTGATACATTTTAAAAACGTTGTACATTCTGTAATTCACATTTTCTTGTTTGTCATAAAGAATGAATAATATCTATCATCCAGCAGTTTTAATTTTGACTGCCAGACTGCCAGACTGTTTAGAACAGTGCAAATACAAACACCATTAGAAACTCATAGTTCAGCATCACACACCATGATATGGGTTAAAATGAGAGCCCATTTCTCTCCAAAACGGTGCCAGTTTTAGCGTTTTGCAATAAAGAAATAAGATAACTAAACTTGATAATTTATGTTACAATTTTAACATAAATGCACATTGTTCTAAAAGGATGGCAAATTCATGCCATACCTTTTACACATTTACTCAAATTATGCTGATAATACAATTTGTAAGGAAAAATGCATTAAATAGCAAAGTATTTCTGGGGAAACTTTTTCAAAGGAAAACACACACACACACACACACATATGTCTCTTTGCTGAGCCGCGCGTCTCGGTGAATCAGCAGCATCCACAACTGAACGGAACAAAAAATGTTGAACTTGAAAATTGTTTATGCGCAAGTGCACTTGCTAAATGAAGGCGGACTGTATAAAATTGATAAAAAAACGTTTTCACAGCGCGCATCACGCGCTCAAACTCAACAAAAGTCAACAAGTTCAACAAGCAACAACGACTTATCCAAGTGACTGCTGCAGAACGCACGCGAGAGAGAGACGAGGCAGCGCAGATCGCGCGTCTCATAAGTGAGTGGGAATTTACCGAACGTGGCACTTGCGGGAGTTAACACTGTATGCAATACCCGCAACCGCACACCAAATTTCACCCCGTGTAGTTTTTTTTTTTTTTCAAATAAAGCCAAGGTAACACTCATTTTACATACAGCACACAGTGAAAATGACATGAATATGACATTGGGCAAAAGCATGAAGCTATCATAATTAATTTGAAATCACTTAAAGTTTGTCGATCGCACGTCTCCAGTGAAGCTGAACTCTCCTCCTGTCAGCATTCAGTTTGCATGGACCGATCGTCACGCAGAGAACACGCGATCATGCAGGATACACATGCACACTTCACAAGATCTCACAACTGGATCCGACTAAGTTTGCAAGGTTTGTGAAATTAAATGTTCATTAGTC